CACCAAGGAACAAGAGAAATATATCTAACATGTAGGAAATCACCAGAAATCTTTCCACAACCAGTTCCCAAAAGCATTGCAGATAGAAACCAGAACACAGTGCTGAGGAAATGAGAAGCCAAGAACCAGAGAAGGGTGGTGTTCAGTGTCATAGCAATGACTTTGGCAAGAAAAGAGAGGAAAGTACTTGATCAGTAACAGAAAGAAACACTTTTAAGGAAGGCTTAAAAGACTTCAAGGCTTGGGCCTGTTTATCTGCTAATGCAGCAAGATTCATGGTTAGGGGGAAGGATGACAAAGGAAAGGTGTCTCAGTGGGGTAGGACAAGCCTAGGACAAGGAAAGGTTCCTTGTTTTGGACCTAGGAGAGAAAGATTGATAGCACATAAGTAAGTAGTAGAATGTGTGGTGAGGAGCAGATAAATATGATGAAGTACCATTTAAAAGGTGAGATCCCCACAATGGGCAGAAGATCATCCTGCACCTATCACTCTCTCCGAGGCTCAAGGACTTTTGTGGAAGAGGTTGGCAGAAAGAATGTAAGAGCCAGAGGAAGGGGTGGAGTGTTAACTGGAAGTATCCTCCAACCACTATGCTGTCAAGCTACAGTCACACCTCCTTTCCACCTTCGTCAAGGAGTTGAGGGAGGGATTCAGTTACCCCTCCCACCCAATCAGTCTACCTTAGCTGCATGTGGGGGAGAGGCTAAGGATATATAAGCAGAGAATGCCATGAGGCACGTCTCTTGCCATTTTGTGCGGCTGTGGGAAGTCATAGGATCTATATTTGAGTGTGGACTTTCCAGCACAGCCATAAATGACGGGGGGGGGGTACCCACTCTTCTGTAAATAAACCCCAACCCTATGCTCTGTTAGCAAGCCCAATAAACTCGTTAGTATTTTCCAAACAAAAGAACAGAGCTAATGGAAACCTTCATTATTCCACCAAAGTTGACCCTATGTTCTCAAATCCTTTATTGTATATATATTTTAACGCAACCTGCTTCAAGTTATTACTGGAAAAATGTGTTAAAAATTGCTTCTCTTTGGAATTAAAAAAAAAAGTGAGATCCCTTGTTAGGAGCTGACCATGTTAGATTAAAGAATTTAAAAAGCAGGGACTGGAGAGATTGCTCAGATGTTAAGAGCACAGGCTGCTCTTTGCAGAGGACTTGGGTTCCCAGCACCCACATGGAGGCTAACAAATACCTGTAACTCCAGTTCCAGGGGAATGCAACACCCTCTTCTGGTCTCTGCAGGCATTTCATGACATGGGTGCACTTACACACATGTAGACAGTATACTTACACACATAACATAGAATAAATAATAAATAAAATATTTTTTAAAAATTAAAAAACTTAAAACCTATCAAAGAGGGGTTTTACTTTACACATATGTTTGTGTGCCTGTGTGCACCGCACACACCTGCATGCCTGCTGGGTCCAGAAGAATGTGTCTGAGAGCTGAGAAATGGAGTTACATGTGGCTGTGAACTCCCTGGTATTGGTGCTTGGAAATGAGCCTGGGTTCTGTGCCAGAGCTGCACACTAACTGAGCCATCTCTCTAGCTCCCCCCTTGAGGAAGCCATCTCCTCACCTCCATTCTAGCTCCAACTCTGAGGCCTTTCATGCCTCCTGTTCATTTCAGGTTGTCAGGACTTTGACTGTTCATTTGGTATAACATGATAAATATGGAAAAGCAGGGAGCCAAAAGGAACTACACATCATTCAAACTCAAAGGGAAAATTGAGAGGGAAAACCTGTGTGGCAGAGCTGAGAGGTCTACTGTTGTGTGCGGTTTTGTGTAACATTTTTTGGAAACATCTGCCCCACACGACTGCACCTCATTCTCCAGGTGGATGTAGACATTATGATCCTGGGTCTTGAAGAGAAGATCCCTGGATTCTGTACAATCTTAGGTACTGGGAAATTCTGATTGTGTGTGTGTGTGTGTGTGTGTGTGTGTGTGTGTGTGTG